CTCAGCAAAAGGCAAAACCGAAAAAAAGAAAAGGATAGGATAAATAAAAACACGATAAGCACCTCTCAATGAAAGCACCAATGATGAAGGACCGCTGATCGGTGTTGTTATTTATACGTTGGGTTGTGAATAAACGGCGCACTCAGGGCCTTCGTTTATCCACGACAGGTGTATCTAGCAGACGCACTCAGGGCCTTCTTCTAGACACTGTGACTTCGAGACGCTCTCAGGGCCTTCTCTCCGACACTGTATGTAAACACGCACTGACGGCCTTGTTTATTACACGTTAGAACATAAAGTTCCCCTCAATTGGCTCACCAATTCAATACTCAATTCAACTTGTCAAATATAATGAGGTACATGGGGTATTTATAGGTGCATAAATTAAATCTAAGCCTAAATAAACTAGATCTCCTAACTCTTGCAATAATAGAAATCCTAACACTAGAAAGCAATAAAATCCTACTACTACCCAAAATACTAATGCTTGGCTTGCACACCAAGCAATTCTAGAAACTCCAAGTCTTCCACACGCCTCAAACCTTCGGCTGCCTCATCGCGCGCGTCGCCCTCACGCCTTGCCCTAGTCCTCGAGGACTAGGGCTGCACCGCCTTCGCCCATGTATGTCCTTTTGCCTCGAGGCATAAGGTCTCGCGCCCCACATGCGCCATTCCTATTCCTTATAGGACCATGCCTCGAGCCCATATCCACTATTCCTATTCCTACTAGGAATAGGCTCTCGGTTACGTTTCCTGATCTTCCGAGGATTACTCCCGTCACCGATCTCCCACGTGCGTTCCGGCACTCAACTGCTTTTCCTATTCCTGCGAGGATTAGTATTCGCGCCTTGCCTATTCCTACGAAGATTAGGCTTGCCACCCCGATCTTGACTTGTGCCTCGCGCGCGTCGTCGTGCGCCCCGCGCTCGTCGTCCGGCACGCCCAATGCCCGCGCATCGTCCATCGCTTTATGCGCGCCCGTCCCGCCTGCGCGTGCACGTTGTACCCTTGCCATGCCTAGTCCCGTGCGGACTAGGTCTCGTGCGTCCGCTGGCCACTTGCGCGCAAATTCGCGCCTCGCGTCTTCGCCAGCTGCCTAGCGCGTGTATCGTTGCGCGCCCGTCCATCCGAGCAACTCCCCTCGCGCGCCATCCACCCAACAACCTCCCCCTGCGCGCCACTC